AAAAAAAATTTGGGGGGGAGAGAGATTCACATTGTACATGCTTCTCCATAAGAATCATCATCACACACCCCTAGCCATAAACTGTGAATGGACCCTTATGGCTGTCTCAAAGTATTTGCCTGCATATTTTGTATTAAGTCATCATTTTGAACCTCAGATAACTTGAAGTATTGACGTCGGTCACTTCAAGTTTGACACATAAATATTTGACTGTACATTGGAAAGTTATTTTTTCAAACTTGAAACAAGATGATCTTTTTCCTGTACTTTTTTATACAATACCCTTCATGGGATAGCAAATCATCAATCCCATAATGCCTTTGGAAACTATGGTCTAACGAGGCAGCAGGTGAATCGAAGTTTATGTTGCATTTTTCAATATAATGTTGGACAGGTGCAAGATTACACTAAACTGAGTCCTGTAGAACTTTACTGCTCAGTTGAAACTCCTACAAAGTCAGACCTTGTTAATCTGGACACTGCTAAATATGGAATGTCTATATATACTGCTCAGAAAAAAATTAAAGTAAAAATAATCAGCAACTGCATTCCAGATAATTTACTGACTCCAGTGCCCACTGAATACATGTTGACTTTTGAGCGGAATTTATCCTTCATCAAAACCATCCTTCCATCTCCAATATGATGAACATGAGGAATAATCAAGAGTTTAGTTAAATTTTCAATGGTTGAACTGACATGACTATCAAATCTTGACAGATAGTGTAAAGGAGTGAGTGAGTGAGGGTAGTTTTACGCCGCTTTTGGCAATATTCCAGAAATATTACGCCAGGGGACACCAGAAGTGGGCTTCACACATTGTACCCATGTGGGGAATCGAACCCGGGTCCTGGGCATGATGAGCGAACGCTTTAACCACTAGGCTACCCCACCGCCCTGTTAGTGTAAATGAAACAAAAGAGTTAGATTTTGACCATCAAAAAATTCTTCTTATGTTTTGCAACATTTTGCATTTTGCAAACCTACATTTCTTTTTCTTTTGTTTGAAAAATTTCAAAGTTAAAGGCTATTTGTACCTGTATTGAATTCATGATGCATTTCGGGTTAGGGATTAGCCATTGTGAAACTCCTTGCATCATAGGTCAAATAGCATTGACAGAATTGCATTGGCAAATACTGTCCTAAATTGATCTCTGTGGCATTTACAAAAATATTGTGGAAGTACTTTTTGCGATATGGAGCAAGTGATGCATGCCAGTCCACAGGCAAACTGAAAAATACAAGTAAATAAAATGTTCCCCGTGTCTCCTAAAACACACCTGTGGATTACGACACTGAAAGTCGTGATGAAAAGGGGCAAAGGACCTTCCTAAATAACTGATTATTGTCTATATCATAGTGACCTGACATGAATACACAATGCCATTTAGAATGTGGTCAAATGTAACATATGTCATATGTGGGATTACTTTCTCAGTTAAGTACAGAGTATAATTCTTTTGCTGAGGTTATGTCGCATCCAGGGTTTGAACCCACACCCTCAGAGTCAGGCACCTAATCGCCACACACAACGTCAGCCAGCTTCCCAGATGCGGTGGCTGAGTGGGTTAGATGGCTGACTTTGTGTGTGGCGATTAGGTGGCTGACTGAGGGTGTGGATTTGAATCCTGGATGGGACTCAATCCAACATAGAACTAGAATCCGTACTTAACTGAGAAGGTGTAATCCTAAATATAACATATGTTACAAAGTGAAAAGACATTCGTCAAATTCTGAGACGGATAAAATATATTCTCTTTGTGGACACACTTATATGTTGAAGCGCATACCAATACATCTTGATATGCCCTAAAGAATGACAGAAAACATCTATCCCTGCAATGTCAAATCGTAACATCAGCATGACGATAAAGATGAGGACCACAGAACATCATGGATGCAGCCACTGAATCAGAGGATTGTAAAACCCCACACTAGCTGACTCAATGTACCAGAGAGCGAGTCAATACCTCACATTTGAGGTGTCTTGCTTTACCCAGGGTCCACATTACTAAGGTTCTTGAGATCTTTTCTAAAACCATCACACAAAGTATCACTACAACACAATGGACACGATCATTCAGTAGTGCTGAAAACTTACAATGATATACATGACAAACAGATCACTAGATACAAATAATGTTCAAAATTTGTCCCTTACTAATCTTATTTCAATACAACATGAGAAAAAGTTAAAACTTTCAAATTTTATGCTATGCATGAACTAAATATAGGTAAAGTTACTTTCTTGCTCTGTTTGCATGAAGGAAGTGAAACATGAAGTACATTAATTGTAAAATGCAGGTTCATCATAATCATGAGTTTACTTAATCATAAGTCAACAAAAGGCCTAAAAAATTACCCAATCAACCCTTGAATTCTGGTGCCGACCCTGTATTTTTTTAAGCGGTATGAATTTAAATAAGCGTTCAGATACCAATGTTTTTTCCCGGCACTGACAGACATCTGTCATTCTGATAGAGAAGTCGACATGATGGCCGCAAGCTTGACTAAATAAACAATTAGACATTGATTATTAGTTTGAGCTTTACTTCTAAAAAAACTGTAAAAAAAAAAATAAAAAAAATTCCTACCAACCTACCCTAAGTTTTATAGAGCTGTAATCGGAACCAGAACATTTTTTTTATTTGGCCTAAGACCATTCATATATCGACAGATGCTTCCAGAACATAAGACTATTTATATCAACAGAAGCTATCCAAGCTACCCTATACTGCAACTGGTTCTCACACAGACAGTTCATATACATGATATTCGAGTCGAGAAGACGCAGATGCACATTATCACAAAAACTCAAACATGTACAAACAGTATGTACAGTAAATACATTTACATGCAAAATATGGCATAATATTATTCTCATATCAAACAAAACCTCAATATATATATAAGAAGGTCATATTGTTTGGGTCCTGTTACTATAGTTACCAAAAACATTTTAATCAACACGTTTTTCTTCATACACTAAAAGTGTATGGGTTTGAAAGTAAAATATTTTGTGTCTATGTGATACGTTTCAAATTTAAGCTCTGTTAAAGAATGGATAAAAAAATGTACTAGCTTGGTAACCATGGTAACTTGACTCACTCAACCTCTTTCTTTGGCCATATTCAATATACACTTTCATCAACATGTGGGCTTATACATTGAGTGTATGTATCTTAGAACACCAGGCTGAATTATATCAGTTCAGCTAAAAAAGTAGCATTTAGAATAAAATTTGAAATACTAAACTATTTTGTACGTCTGACATCATGAGTGAGTGAGTTGGGTTTTACGCTGCTTTTAGCAATATTCCAGCAATATCACCGCAGGGGACACCAGAAAATGGGCTTCACACATTGTACCCATGTGGGGATTCGAACACGACTGACATCATGAAACACAAGCTACATAACTGTATATTTGAAAAATATTTTCATTCTCTGTCTATTAAAATAAAGCACAGTAGAGTCACAGCAGAAGTGTATTCTTTCAGTATGTATGAGTTACATCAGTCACAACATCCTCCATTAACAAAGGGAGTTAACTGGCTATAAAAAAACAACCCTTGCCAAACTACGCTGCAATTTCTGAGCTGTTATGGTTGGCCTATTGAATCTATGCATACTCCAGTCGAGAATGCATTAAAAAATCAAGAATTCCTGCAATTGCTGGACTAAAAAACAAGAACATTGTTGTTACGTCAAAATTTTCATAATTTTTTCAGGTTTTATCAATCAGTAGTCATTACTGGGTGCCTCCATTTTACTTGAAGCAATTACAAGTGATATGAGAGATGGAATTTGATTGGTCGATAGGAGTGAGTGAGTGAGTATGGTTTTACGCGGCTTTTAGCAATATTCCAGCAATATCACGGCAGGGGACACCAGAAATGGGCTTCTCACATTGTACCCATGTGGGGAATTGAACCTGGGTATTTGGTGTGATGAGCAAACGCTTTAACCACTACGCTACCCCACAGCCCGATATGAGGGAAATAAAAGGAACATAACTCAAATAGTTGGCATTAAGACAGATCCACAATCCCAGCCTACTTTGGCAATCGTGAAAACTTGACGTTTATAGTCAGTTATCTCCCTTTGCTTCTGGAGGATGCTGTTACAATGGAACACAGCAGACTAGATGAGTATTCACAATGAATGCAACAGATAACAAAGCATTATCTAGGCTGGTAAAAATTAAATTTAAAATTAAAATTATTTGATTCAAAATTTGAATATTTTTCAATGTTTTAATCCCTCAGATCTTTAACTGAATTATAAATAACATAAAAGTAGACACTAAAGCCATGACACACAGAATATTGATTTGTTCCGTCCCTGGACAGGTTATTGGTTGTGTGCACTATCATACATCTTATAATTATACCAGACCTACTTGATGCTGAATAATTACTGTGTCACAAGTTTTCATGTACCTGACAATCACTGAAAACATAGAATCTCCATCTTTATCATGTTGCAGACTAGCTGACAATTAAAACAAATTGTACAAAGAGTCTGAATACAGAAAAGAAACAAAACAAGTAGGTAGTCCTACAATGAAGGGGCGGTTGGGTAGTCTAGTGGTTAAAGCGTTGGCTCGTCACACCGAAGACCCGGGTTCGAATCCCCACATGGGTACAATGTGTGAAGCCCATTTCTGGTGTCCCCCGCACTGTGATGTTGCTGGAATATAGCTAAAAGCGGCGTAAAACCAAACACAGTCAGTCAGTCAGTCCTAAAATGAAACGTTCTTTCACCGAACAGTTTGATAGTTAGTGAACTGGGTTTAAAACCACTTAAAAAGTATTCTAGTTATATCAAGGGATGTAAGCTTAATGAAGAAGGAAAGCCTGAAGTGATGCAGGTGTTTGACATTTAACCATTTGGTGATTTCCATGAGCATGGGTATGGTGCTGGCAACATACTTGAAGTAGAGCTGGGTCTGAAACTAGTCATAGGCTCCTGGCTTGACTAAGGGACACAACTCTGCCCAGCAAATTGCAGTACCATTAGCTATTTCAATATTCTAATAGATACATTTCAGATTAATCATGTTGACATGTTGCAGGGGTAGAAAAGGGAAAACAATTTGTCAGCAAAGTACAGGAAAATATTCTTGCTGCTATTTATCTCCAAAAAGATAACATTTTCCTTTATTCAACATGGATGTCATGAAAAAACAACTGTTCTGACAAAAAAATAATACATTTTGGCTTTGCCTTTCAGAAAAAAGGCTGTAAGCATTGAGACAGTGATGGAAAAAAACCTATTCACTCAACAAGAATCCTAGGACCCCAAGAATATAAGACACTATCCACATTTTCATATAATCATTGTTGTACAATTTGTACATCTCAGTGTTTATCTATAGATATGATATACTTCATAGAAATAATAACTATAGAAAATTTACATTCACCATGACCATGATAGACACGAGTCACGATTGCACGATATATACAGTAATCTCTTCTCAGTGAGCCCTATGCAAAACAAACACATGTCTGGGTGTGGAAAACGCCTTTTCCAAAGCTTCATTCAAGGATGACGGCTTAATAACTTTCTGTATCATCGATGCCACAAGCCATGACCTCCATGTTAAGGGTTTTGAATATTTTCAAGATTGGCCGTTTCCTGAATTACCTCCGATATTTTTCTGATCAGATTTGTTCAAAATTGTCGATTAAATCTCCCATTCTCCTTCCATTCTGTGACAAAGAAGACTTCTAGGAGGAAAATCTTTCAGAATGAGTTATTTGTTTGTAAACACAACATCTTCCAGTTGCAAGATGAACTCACTGCATGGTTGTGAAGTGCTTAGCACTGTAGGGAGCTGTTACCGGTGGCAGTGATATTACAAAGAGCTCCTTGACAGGCTCCCTGTGAGGAGCTTGGGGTTCCCATTGACAAGGGACATAATCCAATCTGGATAAAACATCTACAGTAACATTGCAAACAAATTTACTTGTGTAAACAACCCTGCTTATGTAAAACACTACCAACAAACATCATAAACAATATCTTCATGAATCATCATAAACAAAGACAAAAAATTTGCTTAGCACTTGTAAAATCAAAACAAGTTCAAAGGGAGGTAACTCTGGCTGCCATCAGTAATCTATTTCAGTTCTCTCCCTTTTTCATCTGCGCTGACTTGACGAATCCAAGCTTGACGTAATGTATTGCTCACAAACAATACGAAGCACTGTGTCACATATATCAACATTTTCTATTTCAACTTCAGATTATACCACAGTGCATCACCGAGTCTTCAAATTTCCAAATTGATAAAGTATCAACTTAACTTAATCAAGTCACACATACAAAAATATCTTTAAAAACTTAACAAAATTGGAAATTTGGTTGAAATCATCTAAACAGGTTTCATCTGTCCTTGAAAACAATGTCTCTCTAGAACCCTGTGGGTACAAACCTTCAGTCTACGTTTCCATCTCCGCAGGATGGTTAAACGTGGGTCTGTTTTATCGGCGTGAACCCAGTGGCGCTGGGGTTGGTATGGTTTGTCATGACTGGCGCCGGAGAATCGGATATATCAACAGATTCCGTGATGTCTGACGCCTCCGAGTCTGTCATATGTATGTCGTGTGAGTCTCTGAGAGGCATGAAGCCAAACATGTGTGTCTTGGACTGGTGTGACTGGTCGATCACGGCTCCAGGCCCGCGCGGAACTGTCTGCTCTGGGCTGTGGTCTTCTAAGCTACTGGATGATATGCTGAAAACATTATTAAAAATATTACGACAGAGCAATAATCTGATAAAAATATACAATTGAAACCATCATGGTAGCAGAATTATCGAGAGGGCATACTTTGGAAAAAAGTAAATAATACTATATTACTCCCCCATGTGCTGTCAATTGGAGCCCTTAACTCACCTGTCGATGGGGCACCTATCTCACCTGTGTGCTTGCGGCTGAGATACCAACTCACCTCTGTGCTAGCAGGTGAGATACCAACTCACCTGTGTGTCAGGTGACATACATAACTCACCTGTGTGCTTGCGGGTGAGGTGAGGTGTCAGAAGGTGACTCACCTGTGTGCTAGTGGGTGAGATACCAACTCACCTGTATGCTAGCGGGTGAGATGAGGTGTCAGAAGGTGACTCACCTGTGTGCTAGCAGGTGAGATACCAACTCACCTGTGTGTCAGGTGACATACATAACTCACCTGTGTGCTAGCGGGTGAGATGAGGTGTCAGAAGGTGACTCACCTGTGTGCTAGTGGGTGAGATACCAACTCACCTGTATGCTAGCGGGTGAGATGAAGTGTCAGAAGGTGACTCACCTGTGTGCTAGTGGGTGAGATACCAACTCACCTGTATGCTAGCGGGTGAGATACCAACTCACCTGTGTGTCAGGTGACATACATAACTCACCTGTCTGCTTGCGGGTGAGATGAGGTGTCAGAAGGTGACTCACCTGTGTGCTTGCGAGTGAGATGCCAACTCACCTGTGGGCTAGTGGGTGGGGGATGATTCCGTCAGGTGTACTGGGTCCCGTGTGGAACTTCTGTGGAGGACTCAAATACTCGAACCTGTCACTGTTGTCCGACTCCACTGAAATACATAACTCACCTGTTGATGGGGCACCTATCTCACCTGTGTGCTTGAGGGTGAGATGCCAACTCACCTGTGTGCTAGTGGGTGAGATACCAACTCACCTGTGTCAGAAGGTGACTCACCTGTGTGCTGGTGGGTGAGATACCAACTCACCTGTGTCAGATGGTGACTCACCTGTGTGCTAGCAGGTGAGATACCAACTCACCTGTGTCAGAAGGTGACTCACCTGTGTGCTAGTGGGTGAGATACCAACTCACCTGTGTCAGAAGGTGACTCACCTGTGGGCTAGTGGGTGGGGGATGATTCTGTCAGGTGTACTGGGTCCCGTGTGGAACTTCTTTGGAGGACTCAAATACTCGAACCTGTCACTGTTGTCCGACTCCACTGAAATACATGACACACAGACAAAAATGTACATCCGCCAGTGATAGGTGATATATACATTGCAGTCGACAGCCTGATAATATATATACAGTGGAAGCCCTCTGAACCGACATTAGTAAAAAAATGCCGGTATAGAGGGTGTGCCGGTTTGGAGAACTTTTCTTAAATTAACTAGTCTCTACCGGGACCAAATTCTAGTGCCGATATGGAGAGCATGCCGGATTAGAGGGCTGCCTGTTTAGAGGGCTTCCACTGTAGTATAAGACAACCACTTCGACTGCTTCAAAAGACTTGATCATTCCTGTGATGATATAATGGGACAATGTGTAGGATGGTTTGCTTATCAAACACAGGTTATCTATTATACAAAAATAATGCACAAATCTTTCACTTAAATAAGACACAAGAATTTATACAAAGGATGTGGGCGGTCTTTAGTCAATCAGATGAGAGTTTTGTAAATTGAAGTATACATTTTTTGTTGTCAATGCACAACACTTGTCAACACTTAGCAATATTCCAGCTATATGACTGAGGTGTGTAAATCCTCAAGTTTGGACCAGACAATCCAGTGATTGATATCCTCAATATTTATGGGATTACGATGACACGTGTCAATAAATCAGCAAACCTGACCACCCATTCCTGTTAGTTGCCTCGAAATATAGAAAAACATCAGCTTCACCCTGACCTTTGTCCATGTAAATGCAATTTTACATGTAAACTTCAAAGAAGAGTCACTCAATATCTACTTTTCCTCATTGAGCCCTAGATACTTACGTTTCCGTTTCCCTAACGGACTTGGTCGCACAGCAATTGGACTCAGGCTTCTGCAAAACAAAACAGGTTGATGACAATTGAAATTAAAAATATCACAAGGTTTGAAAGGTTTTATTAAAATATGACATGAGTGCATGAGTTGGGTCTAATGCATTCTCTTCCCACAGAGGTTACTAGTCATATCTTCCTATGAACCTCTGTTCTAATACGGCCATATTTCCCGGTTCTCGCAAAATCCCCTAGCGGCGAAGAATCGCAACACGAATTATCTCCCTTCTTTCTATCCAATCAGAACACGTGTTACATTGACTTAGATTCAACTAGACTAATACAAGCAAATGTAGGGCCACAAATATCCCTCCTCTGCCAGGGACTTGTGTTGATGTGACACACAACGCATTTAATGGCTAGCTTGTCCGTTGTCAATGAGGGCGATGTAGACGCCATTGATCCGCTATTACATGGCTGAGTTCTGTCTAGCAGAAACGTTTGCGCAACGCACAGGGGAAGAGGTTCTAGTTTTCCTGAAGCCTCTTACGACAAGCATGGGTTACTGAAGGTTTATTCTAACCCGGACCTTCACGGGTCCTCGCACCATGTAAAGGGTTTGTAGTAAGATATGACAAGTAACCTCTGTGGGAAGAGAATGGTTCTAATGCTGCTTTGAACAGTATTCCAGTTATATCACAGCGTGTCGGCGTACTGTGGGAGAAGCGCCTGAAGTGATGCAGGTTTTAAACTGTTCACACTTGGTTAAACCCATGAGCATGTGTATGGTGTTGGCAAACCTGCAAACAGAATCAGAGTGAACTGGGATCTTTGGGTCAGTCAGACTTGTAACCCGTTCCCTATTAGAAAGTGTACTCACCAGAGGAGGATATAAGAATACAAGTTGAAAATTTAAGGGATCTGTGGATTTAAACATTAGAAGACCCCTCACCGACCAAAAATGGAATATTTTCAGTTCACCTGACCTACAAACCCAGTTTTCGAGTCCCCTACACTAAACCCTTTTTGGGACTCTGGTGGTCCTATCTTACTTTTCCTCATTTAAACAAGCCTTTATGGACTTACTGCAATCACATTTCTAAAAGTAAAATGGAATCTTGCTATTTCCTGAAATCTGAAGGTAAATCATAAGACGTTCCATTTTTTTCGAAAAACAGTTCTCAGCAGTAAGTTGGTAACATCCTGCACAGTAGTGTTGGGAATCGGAAACCAAATCCACTATCGATTATCGGAGAACTTGTGATGAACGATTATCGATTATAATCGAAATACATGTATACATTTTAATGTAGTCACTAATTTTAAGGGGTTTTCACCAGGTTTTTTCTTATTAATGTTAATGTAATTATGATGTTTATTTATACAACAAATATTTATCATTACGTTCACAATAGATGTAAAATTTATTCATAAACAGGTTACAGTAATATTTACCGTAGTGATGAATACAAAACTATGAATGCAATGCACATAGCTTTACACTGTTGAGCCCATGTTTGTTCATGAATATTTGTCAAATTTAATGGTTAGTTTAATTCATTCAAGTGTGTTATACTAAAACAACAAAATTCCGATTAATAGAAAATATGTTTTTCACAATCGATAATTATTTTTAATCTTTCAATCGATTTTCGACTATTTTCAATCATTGGAACACCATTACTGGACAGTATGAGTGACCCATAGTATGAGCGATCCATAGTTTGAGCGATCCATAGTATGAGTGATCCATAGTATGAGTGATCCATAGAGTATGAGCGATCCATAGTATGAGTGATCCATAGTATGAGCGATCCATAGAGTATGAGCGATCCATAGTATGAGCGATCAATAGTTTGAGCGATCCATAGAGTATGAGCGATCCATAGTATGAGCGATCCATAGTATGAGCGATCCATAGTATGAGCGATCCATAGTATGAGCCATAATATGAGCGATCCATAGTATGAGCGATCCATAGAGTATGAGCGATCCATAGTATGAGCGATCCATAGTATGAGCGATCCATAGATGAGTGATCCATAGTATGAGCGATCCATAGTATGAGCGATCCATAGTATGAGCGATCCATAGTATGAGCGATCCATAGTATGAGCGATCCATAGTATGAGTGATCCATAGTATGAGTGACCAGAATGACCCGAAATATGAGCGACCTGAAGATGTCAGTCTAAGTAAACTTAGGCTCAGTATTATTCGTTACACTGCTAAACTGAGTCTAACAAAACCTAGTAAAAGGTCGCATCAGCTAACCTTTTGGACTGACCAATCAGAACACAGCTTACCGAATCGTGAAAGTTAACATTCGCACATACCGTTTGAACCTTTACCTAAAAAACTCGAACGATTCCGAAAGCTATTTTCCGCACAATCGCTTCCGAGTGATACACGCAATGAGTAAACAGTCGTTGAAAATAGCGCTTTTGGTCAATATTCAAGGATGTCATCTTGCGAAAAATATAAGCAAATAGTAACCATGTCATAAGAAACCCATAAGCGTATATACTGCGGGTCAAATATCTGTGTTTTATGCGGAGTTTCGTTTGTTGATAGATCGGTGTCAGCGACCAGAGAGAGAAAATCCCAAAACCGTTTTGTAAGTCCCGCCGAACCCTAACAAGTAATCGTTGTCTGATTAGTTAAATTTGTTCGGCCGTCTCGTGTTTGATTGGATGGTCATAGGTCGCTCAAAGGTTAGCTGATGCGACCTTCTTCTAGGTTTTATTAGACTCAGTATAGCAGTGTAACGAATAATACTGAGGCTAAGTTTACTTAGACTGCTGAAGATGTCACTCCACACATACACCCCGACATACCTCATAAATGACTTTCTTGTTGGACTTGGACTAGGTGAGGGTGTAAACGAGTGGTTCCGTATCGGAATCTGCATTGATGGAGAGAAGCATTGCTGGAAAAAGAACACTTTTGTCAACAAACTAGTTCACATTAGGCTGTCAGAGTTTCATAACATCAATCTCATTAAAACCAATCTTTTACATTGTTCACAAACTTCTGTACATGACCCCAGGCAGCTGGGATTGTAATTTGTATGATCCCCAGGGAGCTGAGAATGAAAATCCTTCTCCTTCTACATGGACCTTGACTACACTAGCATGTGTAATATAAGTACACAAGTTTTAACAGTATTATAATTGTGTCATCCAACAATATAGTTGGTTGGGTTCAGCGTTTGAAATAATTGCCAGCCCGGCAGTCAAGTTCTAGTTGTTATTGTATCAGGTCGGCCGTTTCAAATATTTGAAGGCCCATGTGGCCTTCATTAAATTATCTGTCAGCTTTTTCCCAACTGGAATCTTTCCCTTGTTTTTTCCTTTATTAACGTTCGGGAATCATCTGTGTTCCATCTTGTTACGATAACTTTCAGTTTCACTTCCTGGTATTTTAGCGCTTTACGCATAGGAATGTCAAATTAAAATTAACAAATAAAAACCTCTCTCTACGCCATAGGCTTTGCTAATTAATTTTGTAGCAACAGTGAGAAACTGTGCACAGTTTAATCTACTTTGTTTTATTGGCTTGATATTAATAAAATGGGCCTGCAGATTTCATTCAGGGGGTGTAGATTTAAAGCCTGCAGGCGGCAGCAGGCCCTGATGGCCAATTGGCAAATTAAAGCATTGCAAACACTGGTTAGGTTTTCAGGTTTTCAGCTTATTCAGCAGTATTCAAGCAACCTGGGCAAGAGAATATTGAGCAAAGTAAGTCTCAGTACCCTACAATGTGGCCTGGGACATGCCTTACGTAGATGGGACAGTATGTAGCAGGGCACACTTGTAATCCTTTATAGTGCAGGTTGCACTGACTACCTTTATGATCCCTACTTTGAAGCCTGTTCTGCAATCAACAGCTAAGAAAAAAACAAAGGAATACCTTCCCAAGCCTAGTGGGTGAGGGGGACCCACATAGTAGACTAGGTGACGTCATGATGTGAAGGGACTCACTGAACGATCTTGGTCGACGTTGAGTCTGCTCCGCTAGCATCTGCTCACTCTCCACCTGCAACAGAGTGAGTGAGTGAGTGAGTGAGTTGAGTTTTACGCCGCACTCAGCAATATTCCAGCCATATGGCGGCGGTCTGTAAAGAATAGAGTCTGGACAAGACAATCCAGTGATCAACAGCATGAGCATCGATCTGCGCAATTGGGAACCGATGACATGTGTCAACTAAGTCAGCGAGCATGACCACCCGATCCCGTTAGTCGCCTCCTACGACAAGCATGGGTTACCGAAGGCCAATATTCTAACCCGGACCTTCACGGATCGAGTGAGTTTGTGAGTGACAGAGGTTTTAAGCCTATATATATGATGATCACACTATATATATGTAACCAATACTATTGTTACTGACTCAGAGTTCCTTCTCCAGTCATGATAAAAGTTTAATGATCATATACTCCTATCATCTGTCCCTATTTAGCAGACGTGGTGTAGTGGTTAGGTCCACCGGTTCGGTCCCCGACCCTGACTGCGTCATACCAAAAGACGTTAAAATATGGTACTTGTTGGTCCCTGTCTGGCGCTCGGCATTAATGGGTACAACAAGGACTGGTCGGCTCTGAGTCAGCATAATGTGTCTGAGTGGGGTATTCATGCTTCACTGCGGCATGGTATCTCAGTGGGCTAGGATTATAAAACCAGCTTCAGTCTGGGCTAGTACAAGCAGGCGCACATACACACGCATGCACGTCGTCATATGAGCAAAATATTCTCAAGCACGACGTTAAACCCAATTTCACCTCACATTATTTAGCAAATGCCACTTTCGAGCCTTACTGGCACCATGAACCACTTTGAACAGCATTTCAGTATCTCAGCTGGATGTCGGAGTAAATCTGACATGCTTACCACTAGGGGTGACTATTGAGGGGGAAATGACTATTGCAATAGCTTTTTCACTCCTTGAATTGTCTCATTTGAGGTCAATTCCCAAATGAATGTATAGTTTATATGAAATAAAAACAGTTGAAGTAATTTCAGTCTCTCTTAATAACTGACAAGAAACTTGAAACCAAGATCAAGTAAACAGTTAAAACATAAACTCAATGAAGCTGCAAGTCTGCACCCAAAAAAAAAATGCAAAACTAACATAAATATTTAATACAAATAAAGTCAATTACTAAACTATCGATAGTCACACATACAATCGATACATTGATAGACTTTCGTTTCTACCATCGATTAATTGCTATCGGAGACTCAACAATTGCAATCCATTCGATAGTTCGATGCATCGTTACAGTGAAACTCACAAGTTAGAGCTGACAAACCCAGAAACATAATGGCAGCAACTCTATAAAGGTATTGAACCCAAAATCAGACTTCTGAAAAGGGAAGCAACTCTTCACAGCAAATAGTGGAACCCAGTGAGGGAGTGAGGTTTACGCTGTTTTTAGCAATATTCCAGCAATATCACGGCTAGGGCTGTGCAATATAACCGGTTTACCTGTATTTACCGGTTCAGATATGAAAACGATACGTATTGCGATACGCTGATCGAAAACCGGTATTTTGACTTGCATTCCAAAACTTCGTAACACTCGGAAATGTTCGGATATGTCCTTTTTTATTTGTGCCAAATATTATTCACATTTTAATTTATCATGATTAAAAGTTGTTATTAAAGCTTAATCAAGCCTAGTGATTTTGTTGTGTTTTTGCTCTGTAAATCAAGAAGTAACTCGATTATAAGTAGTTTTTTGTTCAAAAATACTTCATGCAATATATTGCAATACATATCGCAATACATGCTTTCGCATCGCAATATGAAAATTCACTGCAATACCCACCCCTAATCACGGCAGGGGACACCAGAAATGGGCTTCACACATTGTACCCATGTGGGGATTCGAACCCGGTCTTCAGTGTGATGAACGAACGCTTTAACCACTAGGCTACCCCACCACCCCAAGTATATGTAAAGATTTAAGTACACTATACAATTTTCTTTCGCTTGTAAAGCTGCACTATTTACATGAGAAGTCCATAACAAGTATCTTCAAAAATAACACCTAAATATTTATAAGACGATGCATTTTCTAGTTGTTTTCCATTCAAAAACCATTTCTCGTTTTTCTATAACTTGACGTCATTTTAGGACCCAGTATAGGAAGTGTGTGATTAGTACTGCTTTTAACAAACCTACAGCTGTATGATGGGGTGTTTCAGAGATAGGTTCAGACAACTGAACAATAAGAATACTTTGTTGGTTCAGACGGATGGACATACCAAATTGAAACCATCCCATGAAGTTGAGATCTGCATTTGGTTTCTCATTTCTCTGAAACATGAAAAATGAAACATATCACATACTGGTACATTACAAATATAATTGAAAAATATATTATAAATACCATTAATAATAATACTAAATAAAAATCACTGGAACTGATTTGAATTTGGTTTGTGTGAGATAATATGGTTTTACGCTGCCTTTAGCAATATTCCAGTATCATGGTGGGGACACAAGAAATGGGCTCCACACATTGTACCCACGAGGGGAATCGAACCCGGGTCTTCAGCTGGGTGAGCGAAAGCTTTAACCACTAGACGACCCCAAGACTCTCGCGCCAGACCTAATCGAAAAACCAGGCAGGTAGAAGACAAGTTTGTTTGTTTTTATAACGCCACATTCACCAATATTCCATCTTTATGGATGTGGACAATCCAGTGATCAACAGCATGAGCATCAATCTGTGCATTTGGGATGAGATGACATGTGTCAACCAAGTCAGTTAGCAAGACCACCAGATCCCATTAGTCGCCTCTTATGACAAGCATGGGTTGCTGAAGACCAATTCTAACCTGGATCTTCATGAGTTTAGAAGACAAGGCTATATTTAATATTTCTCCCACCGACCTCTCATGAGCAGCTTCTCGGTCAGGTATATGGCTCTCCTCAATCTTTATCTGATTTATCCGATCAGGAACCCTCAAAGGCGCCTGAAAATAACATAAATACATGAACAGAGGGCTAGAATGCATTATACGTGATACCTAGCAGGGTTAGGGTTACGATAGGGGTTAGGATTAGGGTGAGGGTTTTTATCTCAGTTTTATATTTGTTCACCTTCCCGCGCTCGCATTTTAAATATGGCAGGCAGGTATCCGTTATAATGCATGTGTACCGAACAGAGAAATCCGGGTAGGATAACAGGCCTGTTCTGGGCAACTCCTGAAGTCCAATATAAGAGCTATTGAAGTTGGGTTAATATTCCAATGAAAACTTTCAGCCATATTCATTTGCCTGACGACTAGTCATATTTCTTCCTAATATTTGAATGTTTTAGACATCAAATCAAATATCATCAAATACATATGGAGACATTTTTCTAATATTCCAAACAATGTGTCCTTTGTAATGCATTTTGGAAATACTGTTATTTTTTTAATGCATTTTGGAAATACTGTTATTTTGTTCAATATTCAAATTTTTAAGGTCTTTTTTTCCCCTAAATGAGGGGTATTTAAACTTTGACTTTTAACAGTAACACTGCATTCAATGCAACAATGTAAAACTAAGCTTGAAGTCCTCTTCCTCCATACTGGACAAGTAATCAGTACCTCTTCAATTTGTTCAAAGCAAAAGCATTACTTATTTAGTTATCACAACACATAAGAAAACGACCACTTCTTTTAATGATAATTTCTGGTTATTCGCAAATTCTCGATGATCATAATATCCAATAGCTTTATTCATCTGTTTTTTTTTAATTCACTAACTAACTTATAGAATCACCAGCATGTGCCAAGGGATTGAAATTAGCAAAAGCCGCATCTCTGGCCCAGTGTTTATAATGTTAAAGAGTTTAAGTTATCCTCCAGTCCGGTAGAATGTTAAACATTTTAAAGGGTATCGCTATATCATATATTTCACTATTTGGTATAGTAGACATTCATGGTTAATTTTCCATCCTTAATTAATTGGGTAAATTTAATTCCAATTTAATGAACGAAACAACAAATGAACAAATATTGAGTTATCTTTACAGTTTTATTGTAATAATGAGCTGATACAAATTTATATACTGAGCAGTATTGGGACATTTTTCCCAGGTACCTTGGTCAGGTAAATATTTTTTCAGCTCATGAATAAACTACCTGAATCTAATGTGTCGCATGATTGGTCCAGATAACTGAAAGGTGAGGTGAGGTGAAACAGGGTTTAAGGTCGTGCTTAAGAATATTTTGCTCATATGCCGACGTGCATGTGTGTGTATGTGCAGCTGCTTGTACTATCCCAGACTTAAGCTGGTTTTATAGTGCCAGCTCACTGAGGTACCTTGCCACAGTTAAGCATGAATACCCCACTCAGACACATTATACTGACTCTGAGCCGACCAGTCCTTGTTGTACCCATTAATGCCGAACGCCAGACAGGGACCAACAAGTACCATATTTTAACGTCTTTTGGTATGATGCGGTTGGGGATCGAACCCGCGACCTTCCGCTCTCCAGACGGAAGCTCCCTACACCAAGGAGGTGGTCAGGTAACTTACAGGATTCGTATTTCAATAATAAAAATGAGCATGACAATATCACACATTCCATAGGCCTTTTGGAATTGGAAGAACATGTTTTAAGGATTGACAACTGAACTACTTTATTACAATAGGTACATTGCTAAAGTAGTTGTCAACCCACATAACTCATTCTTCCACATCATGCCAACTATTAAGTGCCACTTATATCATTGCAACAAAAGTTGACACAGAATGAAGGTACTCACCGATATGGAGGACAGAGACATGTTACTGGAACTGAAGCGCCGAATCCTTGAAGATTCCGTTGACTTGAATGTGGAAGTACTGCAACAGAAAGTAATGATGATGATGATGATGATTTTAGAGACAACGTGATTGAGTAAGTTGCGTTTAACGCTACTTTAAACAGTATTCCAGTTACTAGTATATCACGGCATGTTGGCATATTAATGTGTGAGGAGTGAGTTTAGTTTTATGCCGCTTTTAGCAATATTCCAGCAATATCACGGTAGGGGACACCAGAAATGGGCTTCACACATTGTACTCATGTCGTGAATTTAACCAAGGTCTTCCCCGTGACGAGCAAACACTTTAACCACTAGGCTACCCCACCACCCTGCCGCATACAACATGGATACTTCATCTTATGATTTGGGGAAAGTTAACTCAAAAGTGTCGCTCACAAACTATTCTAGCCATCATTTTATTTTTAAGCTTAGATGAAGACAATTTTCTCAAGAGAGGATGTGGACTGGTAACGATAGCCAAGCACTGCACAAGCCAAGTACAATTTCTTGATGACATGTTTGGCCCAGTAGACACAGAATACCTTTTATAATGTTTTATCAGTTTTCGGACACATCTCTTTAGTATAAACAGTCAACATTTGTCCCTTTTGGGAAATGACCTTTGCTTCATCAAGACAACACAGGTTCCTGATGTCACTACAGTGCATAAGTATGTGTATACTGAGTTACTTCCCTTTGGGCGGGGAATAATTGCAGTGAGTTCTTTACACAGCAACGGTTAAACTTTGTTTGCATCTCTAAAAAACATCTCATGCGATGACTGTCTTCAGACAGATAAAATTATATAATACATCTATCAACATAATAATAATTTGTCTCTGTTTTCGGTGTTACATATGGAGTTTTACTGACTAATAATGAATTTGTCATATATTCACCATGTTCAAAGATAACAAAGTTAGATGCATTTCAAAGTTGGAGTACTAAGTAAGGATTATTATATGTGGACAAACAACTTCTTTACTACAATTAGGAGCTGTTTTGGTGTAGGTTGTAATTCTATTATAAAGTGGTCACTCACTTGATGACAATGTAAGAACTTATATTAGAACATATCATTTTTAGTATATATATAGGCCAACATATGGTGATATATAGAAACACTGCAAACTGACGTGAAGTTTGAGGATGATGAGGGTTTAGAGAATTTGGCATATTTAAAAGTGATGCAAATTTATTCTTTACTTCAGAATACCATTGCAATGGATCACATATAAAACATGTTATGGAAAAAGGCTGAAAACTCTTAACAGATCACATGGCATTCACATGCAATTCAGTTTCAAAACTTTTTAAAAAAGGTTGTATATATTATATTTTATATCCATGCATATATGGTGTTCAATCTGCAATTTATTGTATTGTATGCATTGACTTCAAACTGCAATAAAATACCCAACAATTCGCACCATGCTGGATCACGATTCATGGCTTTGACACGATATTAGAGTCATATTTCATGTTTGCATTGATGTTACACAATTGTGCATGATAAATGCATTTACCTTGTTTCTGTATTCGAAGTAGGAAGGAGCGCATTAATCATTGGCGCACTGTTTGACCTTTTCAATGTTCCAACCCCAGACATGGCTGATGAGTTTGCCGGTGGTTCGTGATCTACCTCCATTGTGGATTCAGGCTCCCGTATCACACTCCGAGACAGATGTATCTTGGATATGGTGCGATTACGTTCGTCATAAATTTACACACAGAAACAATGTTTATATTTTGTCTTTTGGGGTGAAACAACATAAAAATATACACGATCAGCTGGAACAAGAAAGTAACTTGACTCATAAAACGAAATTGGGACACTTGAAGAGACGTCTGACAAGACACTAGTTTGACGTTCAGACAACGGTCTAGGAGTATGTTGCACTCTCTAAAACTCCACCTATGGTATGCAAGAAATTAAAGCGCAGTCCCCTGCACAGAAATGCTTTAAATCTGCTCATCTTCACGCAACTTCGTTAATAATCTTCATTCAATCTCTTTTTGTTGTGATACTGACAGGAAGTCGTACTGTCCAGGTGTTACGGCTTCGCTGATTGGTTGGTTTACGTCACTGCTTCTGCGGTAAGAAAACCGCTTTGAGGCTTCTGAAATGGATACTTATACACAGTATTTATGGCATTGTAGTGAATATGAACCGAGCAAAGAATCTGCATGCGAATATGTGAAATTTTTATCTACATTGATGGATTTCTGGCCGTGTCAAGGTTATTCATTAATATTTATGAGGCATATGAGCCAATGAAATTCTCCCTTACAAAGGACCTTTTAAATATCGCCTACCATCATTCGATCTGAATCATTGTGACATACTTTAGTCAAGCTTATATTTCAATTTCAGTCATATAATATGTGTAGATACAGCTGTTGATAGCTAAAGCGTACGTATAGTTATAACATGGTTTATTTGGATATGTCGTAAATATCACGCGTTCGTAAATGTCCGCCATTTTCCGTTCGACTTCGGCTTTGCGTTTTTCAAAATTTCAAGTTCTTCACACGTGTTGTTGTATGATGTCCCATTAATGTAAGAAATTCCATGATTCATTTTTATGTTTTGGAACTATCTGGATCACTCCAAGACTAAGGTTTCTAATATATGTATGTATAAGTTGTGACGAGCAACTGGAAAGGAATCCCGTTGAGATCGGAGATTCAGAACCATGCAGAAGAAAATCAAGGCTTGCTTCATATAGGGTTGGTTGGTGGGTTGGTTTGTTGTTTTACGCCGCACTCAGCAAAATTCCAGCTATACGGCGGCGGTCTCTAAATATTCGAATTTGGACAAGACGGTCCAGTGATCAACAGCATGAGCATCGACCTGCGCAATTGGGATACGGGTTGTAGTCAAAAGGGCCAAACGACAAAAGGGCCAAATTTGAAAAAGCCAAAAGGGCCAAAGAAAAGTCGAAAGGGACAAAGGAAAGTCAAAAGGACCATAGACCTAAGTCAAAAGGGCCATGGGTCAAATTAAAATACGAACACACAAACCAATCAGAATAAAACGGTCTGCTCTTGTGGGCACCAAATTGAGAATTCATATCATTATTGCTTTACTTGTACTAAATATAGTGAAATCAGAAAAGGATGCCTTCTTTTACATCCACAGATATGATCTAGAAACTATCTTATATGCTTACAAGTTTTTAAGCAAAAATGTTGAAATGGATATATTAAAATCTGTTCATCACTTCATAACTAAGAGCAATCGGTTTGTAAATGCTTAGGTAAGTTCCTTAAGATAATGACTGCAAAATCTAAAAAGCTAGATCTCTTGTATGCCTGTATGTTCACTTGTTTCATTGCAGCACTTATTATCATATTGTTAATTGCATTTTGCTTCATTTATTTATGAACACATGCTTTATTTATCTATGAACACACGTGAGTTGTCAATTATTGTCGTTTACGTGTGACCATCACGATTTTGGAATTGTTATGTTGCTGGGGCGGTAAAATAAATATGTTTAAATCATGTAGTAACAATAGTGAGGTGAAATTGGGTTTAACGTCGTGCTTGAGAATATTTCGCTCATATGACGACGTGCATGCGTGTGTATGTGCGGCTGCTTGTACTATCCCAGACTTCAGCTGATTTTATAGTGCTAGCTCACTGAGATACCATGCGGCAGTGAAGCATGAATACCCCACTGACCAGTCCTTGTTGTACCCATTAATGCCGAGCGCCAGGCAGGGACCAACAAGTACCATATTTTAACTTCTTTTGGTATGACGCGGTCGGGGATCGAACCCGCGACCTTCCGCTCTCCGGGCGGACGCTCTAACCACTACACCACGGAGGCGGTCAGTAACAATAGTATTAATACATAGTGTGATCATCATATATTCGAGGTTTGATATGTGATCAAATATTCATAAGTGGTTCAAATGTTCATAACTCACACAACTTTAAAATTCACTACAGACATCATCATATCTTGTTTAGATTACTAACGAGTGTAATTGTCATCAGTGACTGTTTAAACCTCTTGTAATCATTACACAAACAGTCGCGGTGGCTGAGCGGGTTAGGCGGCTGACTTTGTGTGCTGGCGATTTGATGCCTGACTCTGAGGGTGTGAGTTCGAATCCCGGGTGGGACTCAACCCCCAAAAGTACTAGAATTTGTACTTTATTAAGAAAGTGTAATCCCAAATATAACACGTTGTATTACACAAACAGTTGTATTGTTGACTATACTCATAAAATAAACTTGGGGCGGTTGGGTAGCCTAGTGGTTAAAGCGTTGGCTCGTCACGCCGAAGACCCGGGTTCGAATCCCTTCCACTGGTACAATGTGTGAAGCCCATTTCTGGTGTCCCCCGCCGTGATGTTGCTGGAATATTGCTAACAGCGGCGTAAAACCAAACTCAGTCACTCAGTCAGTCAGTCATAAAATAAACACTTAAGCACTCTGAGATGTTTTAAATAAACAACACTGAGACACTCGGAGATGTTTAGGATGCAACAACATGTAATTAATTTCTTCTAATCTTACTATTTTCTAAAAGTTTGGCCCTTTTGACTTAAGTCTATAGCCCTTTTGACTTTTCTTTGGCCCTTTTGACTTTTTCAATTTTGGCCCTTTTGTCTTTTGGCCCTTTTGAGCTGTTCTCTTTGGATACGATGACATGTGTCAACCAAGTCAGCGATCCCGACCACCCGATCCCGTTCACAGGGGCGTGTCACGCTTAGAAACAGCGTTAGAAAGACATATAGGTATATAGACCCTACCCTGGTACTATATAGTACTAGGGTAGGGTCTATATACCTATATGTCTTTCTAACGCTGTTTCTAAGCGTGACACGCCCCTGTGATCCCGTTTGTCGCCTCTTACACCAAGCATAGGTTACTAGCGTTCGCTCGTCGCGCTGAAGACCCGTGCTCGATTCCCCATATATGGGTACAATGTGTGAATCCCATTTCTTGTGTCCCCCGCCGTGATGTTGCTGGAATATTGCTAAAGGCGGCGTAAAACTAAACTCACTCATTCACTCCAATGAAGGTCACAATTCAGACATAATTCAAAATTAACATATTACCATATTGTTTGAAGTTCTCAAAAATGATTTAAAATATAACGCCACATAACCATTTACCGATGTTATAATTTATTTACAACGAAATAAAAATATTCGGTATCGTGGAACCGACTGTTCTTGTCCTTTAATAGATTGTTTGGTTTGTTTACAGACCGCCCCCCGAATGACAATTAGCAGTGCCTAGCCTTGGCAACATAAACAATAACTCTGCATTTTATTGAAAATAAAGAACTGTTCCTGAAATTACGTGGAAAAAAAACTATACTCAACCCACAGTGACATGCCGAAAGTAACATGGCTTGCGTCAGATGCCCCCGTGATAAATGTTCCAAGAAACACACAAAATAGGTAACTTACCAAATGATACAAGTGCTTTGTAATACATGTATATCCCGTCCGAATGGCAACCCTTTGGGTTCTCTTCGGAACAGAGCTGTAAAAGCTAGGAAATGAAATTTGTGGACTAGAATCCAGACTCAAATCTAGACGAGAGCTAATGTTCTCACAGTTTTTTTTCTGAAATTAGATTTTTCACACATGTTCAGATATTTTAGTAATGTTTTTGATATATCTATATATAAAAAGAGTCATTTTCAAAATTCGTGCATATTTATTTTATATGTTTGTTTCCGACAAACTTAAGTCGAAATCAGTTTGTTTTTTTAAGGTAACCAATTTATCTTGGTTAATTCTACACTTTACAGTAACAAACTTGGGAAAAAAATATTTCATATTTATTTTAAAGCCCCCAAACCACCCAATTTTACTCAATTTTCATGTGTCACGACTCCAGCGGTCGATGTGCAATTTGATCTTTTTTTGTCTTTTTCATGTTTTTCAAAACAAATTATTTAACATATCATAATTAATGATGTTACAGCTACATGCTTGGCATGGTTTGACCTTTTTTGTATGGACAATTATTTTGTAAACAAAGGTCAAACTTTGTCACAAGGTTTGATGTCACTACCGTAACATCAACCCAAAAATGCAATAATGATTACTCCTTGTACTGTCTTCGAATTCTACATCATATTTGCAAGCAATGGTAATGAGGAAACAGGGCTGTCAAACACTGACACAAATGATTAATTTTTCTGAATTTTATCACACAAAATGTGTGTAGAAAATGATTTCTGAGATTTTGGCATGTCCTAACTGTTACGGTGGTTACCGCTGAAACCAGTTAATTTTGTGAAGCCAAACTATGCCAAGTACCTTAGACAGTAGGGGAAATCATTTGAAACCATGTGCTCAGTAAACTTTGGGGACCAGTTATTGTTTTAAAACAGATATTGTTAGTGGCTGTCACTGCCGTTATCATGGGTTTTGTTACAGTAAGGACAGATTTTGTGACGGCAGTGACATTTTATAGTTTAATGTTGTTTGTATCTAAATATTCATTTCAAAGATATGAAATGTTTTGGAATTTTATTTAACACAAAACCTTTGTATCAAATAAATAAAATCAATAAGCATATAAGTATGATTTTGTTGTTACGGTAAGGACAGGGTAGTGTAACGGCTGTGACAAAGAAGAACACGTTACGGTAGTGACATTATATACCGTCACAGTGTCACTGCTGTAACATGCAGTCTTTACCTGCTTTTTACCTGACAGGGTCATCCATAAGTAAATCTTTTGCCCATTATATATTCCTCAAACATTCTAAAATATTTGAATGACAAATTTAATCAAATTATCTTTTAAAGTAAACTTACAAAACTGGCTATTAATAAAAATGTCACTACCATTATTGTGTCACTACCGTAACAATTAATGCCAATGTCCATGCCATAACATTATCATTTTCCTTATTTAATTATAATTGATTTATCTGTTTATTAGGGGTGGGTATTGCAGAGAATTTTCATATTGCGATGCGAAAGCATGTATTGCGATATGTATTGCAATATATTGCAAGAAGTTTTTAACAAAAAAATACTTATAATCGAGTTAATTTAATATCAACACAGTGGTTCAACCCAAAATGCTGACATACTGAAGCCTTTGCACCAGTATTTGGCATCACAATAAATTGTTCGTTGTTGGGGTTCGCCAATTTACAACAAACGCATGACTTTCGGTGAAGAAATTCTGAAGATTTCCGTATGTTACGAAGTTTTCCGAATGCATGTCAAAATACCGGTTTTCGATCCGGGTATCGCAATAGGTATCGTTTTCATGTCTGAACCGGTACATATCGGTACACCGGTTATATTGCGCAGCCCTACTGTTTCTGTTTGGAATTTGTAGTGCAAGTATGTTTGGTAGTAGAGCTTCAAGTAAGCATAATATAATTCATATTCTCATTTTGAATTTTTTCCTACATATTACTTTATATTTGCAAATCAGAAAAGAAAGGAATTGTTTGGCTTGTTGGCCCCTTTTGAGCAATAAATATAAAATCTAAAAACTCATTAGCCATATTATGTTGTAAAACTAGATGTATTAATATATATGTACATTAAGGGAATATCATCTTTGGATTTTTTTCTTTTGAAAATGATGTTACAAATTTCGTAACGGTATTGACGCAATTTCGTCAAATTTCTAATAAAAAGGGTAAAATATGAAAAATTAAATGTCGTTAATCTTGCATAATTTATGTTTTGCATATTCAGAATACTATGAATGTAATCAACAACATTTCAAGGTAAAACAAGAAAAAAATATTTAAATTTTTGCCTACATGAAATATGCACGAAATTTGAGAATGACTCCTATATCTGGGGATTTTGCAGGCCAGTTCATACTGGCCGTGATCCCACGATGCTTGTGTAAAGGTGAGTGAGTATGGTGTTATGCCGCTTTTAGCAATATTCCAGCCATATCACGGCGGGGACACCAGGAATGGGCTTGACACATTGTACCCATCTGGAGCGGGGCACCATATCACCCAAAGGCTCCAGGGCTCGCTTCCAGTATATCTTCTCTGTGCACAAGTCTAGCCATCATTAGTTCTTTACCATTCTTCCGTACACACCCGCCCAACCCCACCCCCACACATTAGCGTAGACACGGGGCAGGGGCGGATACAGCTCTTTGAATAAGTGGGGGTGCAGGCTTTTTGAGAAAAGGGGAGGGGTGGGGGAGGTGCAGTCTTCATTTTCACCCGTTTTCAATGGTCAATTAATAATATGACGCAAGTAGCTGTTCAGATTTGCGTTTCTTGGTCACCCCAGGATTCTATGATCGTGAGCTCGAATCCCAGTTCGCCCCAATTTTATTATTTCTTAGTTTTTCAGCATTTCCGATAACAGTAAAACTCTGAGAGAGTAAATCTAGTTTTACGCCGCTTTTAGCAACATTTCAACAATATCACGGCGGGGGACACCAGAAATGGGCTTCACACATTGTACCTATGTGGGTTTCGAACTCGGATGACGAGTGCACGCTCTAACCATTAGGCAACACCACCGCCTCATAAACCTCTGAGAGCTACATCACACTGGTCTCCCCTCCATGTGAATCTGGGGGGCGGGGGTGGGGGTATGTGTTAGCCTAATGGTTAAAGCGTTGGCTCGTCACGCCGAAGACCCGGGTTCGAATCCCCACATGGGTACAATGTGTGAAGCCCATTTCTGGTGTCCCCCGCCGTGATGTTGCTGGAATATTGCTAAAAGCGGCGTAAAACCAAACTCAGTCAGTCAGTGAATCTGGGTCACGATCCACAAAGCGTTCGTAGCGCTACGCCATTCGTAAGTCCATGGTAAACTATAGAGTAATGACAGGTCGTAATGTTACGAATGCTATGTGGAGCGGGATCCTGACTCGTCGCAGTGTACCTGGAATACCAGTCAAAGCGGCGTTAGACCCAGGTGACTCACTCACTCACTATACGACTGAACATTGTTATCTATGTTATCAAGTAATAAATGCCATTTGTTAACCTGGCCACTATAGGTGGGACGATATCTGGACATATCACATCGCCGTCCAATAGGTCACAATCCCTGATCGACCTGCGCATGATACTTAAACATCATGGAGAAAGAACCTCTTCTGAAGTACTCCGGGGCGATTCCGTCGATTCCGCCATATACATCTTGTATACAGACCGGTACACCTTGTATACAGACCGGTTCACCTTGTATACAGACGGATACATCATGTATACAGAACGTAAATGTTACATCGTGTACACATAGCAAATCGGTTACACGGTGTATCAACGATCATGGCGACGTTCCGTGCGTCAGGCACGAGCCTGCTGACCAGACGTCCAGTAAAACCAAATTTGGTACGCTTCTGCTGGTGAATATTGTGACCTGTTTGTGGACAATAGCTCTGAACTTACACTCTCCAGTACTCACTCAGTACCTGTACATGAGGGTCAAGGACGAAATGTACCCCAACGGTACAGAACCGGCGAAACACAACGTCACCTGCTTCCAGAACAGTTCAACCGAAGGCTTCAAGCTCCAGGAGAAAGCCCAGCAGGTTACGAACGCCATGCAGATGCAGTTCTCCTTGACCAAGTCTGGATGTGAGCTCGTGATGACTTTAATTCTTGGATCCTTCTCGGATTATATAGGAAGAAGGGTTCTGTTTGTTGTTCCATCGGTTGGTTACCTTATCAAAGATTCCATTCTCACGGCAATAATTTATTGGAACTTGGATCTGAAGTTTTACTATGTTGGTGAGATGTTGGAAGGAATTACTGGCGGGTCGTCTCTGTTCAAACTAGCCTGCTACACGTGTGTGTCGGACAATACACCAGCTAAAGGGGTCAGGACCCTGGGGATGATAGCAGTAGATGTCACAATTGCAGTAGCACAAGCATCCATTTCATCAGTGACCGGCATCTTCATCCAGAATACAGGATTCTTTTACCCTTCCTTGGCATCAGCGTTGATGACCGTGGTTGTCTTGGTAACAATTATGTGTATTTTGTCTGACAATATAAAACGAAGAGGAGCTTCCTGTGGAAACTTTTTGGCAGGTTTAAAAAATGTCTTTTCGTCCTACTTTACAGAAGGTTCAAAGAGGAGGAAGGTATTGTTTTGGCTTGGCATTATAAGCTATTTCACGTATTTTGTCATTATGAGCACTGGTAATGTTAAGACGCTGTGGCAGCTCAATTACCCCTTGTGTTGGAGCCCAGAGATGATAGGATACTACAGTATGGCAAGCACAATGTTCCAACAAGTGCTCTGTATTCCCTTAGCCAGGCTGCTCCAGAGCTGCGTCAGTGATCCGGTCATCGCTGTATGGAGCTGTGTCGTCACCATGGCGTCCAACGTGCTGCAGGCATTCTCCTACACCAACTGGATGATGTACGGTGTTGCCATCGTTGGATGTCTTACGGTCTCAGTAGGGGATAATCCGGTCAGTGTTGTCACAGATGACGGCTCCAGATCGTCAAGGATCTCTACTGGCGAGCCTATCTGTCATGTCAATTGTCAGCGTTCTTCTTGGAGACCCCATGTTTAGTTTCATCTACAGATACACTGTGATAAGCATGCGCGGTGCAGTGTTCCTAGCTTCTGCAGGGGGCAACCTACTCTGTGCGATATTACTCACACTACTAGCAGTGTTATCACATACTTACTTCAGAGCGGAAGTGACGTCAACTGAAACTCAAACCCGGAAGTAAAAGAGAATTTTCTCCCCAAACCCAACTCATTTTTATTTGTTTGTTGTTTAACGCCGCACTCAGCAATATTCCAGCTACATGGTGGTGGTCTGTATATAATCGAGTCTGGACCAGACAATCCAGTGATCAACAGCATGAGCATCGATCTACACAATTGGGATACGATGACATGTGTCAACTAAATCAGCGAGCCTGACCACCTGATGTCATCGTATCCCAGTTGCGCAGATCGATGCTCATGCTGTTGATCACTGATTTGTCTGATCCAGACTCGATTATTTACAGACCGCCGCCATGTAGCTGGACTATTGTTTAGTGTGGCGTTACCAACAAACAAACAAACCCGTTTCAATCCAAAAGGAATTATTTGTTTCTGTCAAAATTATATATATTCAGTCAGCTCGTTAATCTACAAACAACATTGCTTGACCTGTCCACTGATGTCTCTGACTGCGCCGTAGGGGTCGCATACATCGATCAGTCTGGAGCTCCAACTCTGTTGGGGAGTCTCAAAAGTGGATGAGCTGATTATGTTTACATGTGTAAATGGTTTTCTAATAACTGACGTGGCACGGGTTTAAATTAAGTTCCTTTGATTTTAGTCCCAGAAGGAAAATGTGTTGCTTCCCTTGTTTTTGTGAAGATCCTCGGTCCAAGTTCTAATCTCCAAAAGACGCTGGTTATAATCCTTGGTTTATCTTACAGTACAGTCGGTGATCCACACTTGTGGTTTCACCAAAAGGTGAGGTGAGGTGAGGTGAGGGGAAATTGGATTTAACGTCGTACTTGAGAATATTTCGCTCATTTGACGACGTGCATGCGTGTGTATGTGTAGGTGCGGCTGCTTGTACTAACCCAGACTTAAGCTGGTTTTATAGTGCTAGCCCACTGAGACACCATGCCGCAGTGAAGCATGAATACCCCACTCAGACACAGTATACTGACTCCGAGCCGACCAGTCCTTGTTGTACCCATTAATGCCGAGCGCCAGACAGGGACCAACAAGTACCATATTTTAACGTCTTTTTGTATGACGCGGTCGGGGATCGAACCCGCGACCTTCCGCTCTCCGGGAGGACGCTCTAACCACGGAGGCGGTCTTCACCAAAAGGGACAAGGAATTGTGTCAATTCGGACTTTCCACTAACATGTAATTGACACGCCGCGACATGACCGAATAGCTCCCCACAAGCCAAATCACTCACGCACTCCCTGACAGTCTAAGCATTGAGGGGCCGTGGGGTAGCCTAGTGGTTAAAGCGATGCTCGTCACGCCGAAGACCCGGGTTCGATCTGAACTGAGTGGCAGGCGAGTGAGCATTTGAAGCGCCCATAAAATGACACCGATGAAGCGCGTTCTCCATCTTGAAAAGCGTACAATTAATTGTTTTCTTTCACGTTTTTGTTGTTATTCACTCTTGCAGTACTCTCTTAATGATTGGAGACAATAAATCTAGCTCAATGCCGAATACAAAATCTTTAGTTCAGTTCTTTAGTAATATTTGACAGGAACATTTTGGTCTAAACTGAATTACAAATGTAGCATATATGTAAAATTTGGGATTACACTTTCTTAGTAAAGTACAGATTCTAGTACGTTTGTTGGGTTGAGTCCCATCCATGATTCGAACCCACACCCTCAGAGTCAGGCACCTAATCGCCAGCACATTGTAATCCCCAAAATAACATATGTTACATTTGACCACTTTCTAAATGGCATTATGTAATCATTGTGTAATCGTGAGTGAGTGAGTTTAGTTTTACGCCGCACTCAGCAATAGTCCAGCTATATGGCGGCGGTCTGTAAATAATCGAGTCTGGACCAGACAATCCAGTGAACAACAGCATGAGCATCGATCTGCGCAATTGGGAACCGATGACATTTGCCAACCAAGTCAGCGAGCCTGACCACCCGATCCCGTTAGTCGCCTCTTACGACAAGCATAGTCGCCTTTTGTGGCAAGCATGGGTTGCTGAAGACCTGTTCTACCCCGGATCTTCACGGGTCTTGTGTAATCATGAATTACAAATATGTGTGTCAGTCAGCCAAGATGTCAACGCTATACCATGTTGGTGGTCGTTGCCAGTAGGGCTGTGTATTGGCAAATATATTGTATTGCAATATATTGCGATTCAGGTATCCGTATTGCGATATATTGGGACCTTAAGTGTTTGACAGTGAGTGACACTAACTGTGCATGTCGATCTATTTTCTACATCATAAGTCCCTAAACGTATATGTTATGGTTCTGGTAACAGCAATCTCAAAATTACGTTGCATAGTCATGGATTCTATTTTGTTTTTTTATACAATTTATTGCATTACAGTATGCCGTATATATAAATAATTATAAATTGAATAACGAAGGAAAATATTAATTTTGTTGTGACTGACTGAGTTTTAGTTTTACGCCGCTTTTAGCAATATTCCAGCAATATCACGGCGGGGGACACCAGAAATGGGCTAAACACATAATTTTGTTGTGAACGAGAGTGTGTAGATTTTAATTTAAACCATAAAGATAATCACAAAATCACATGTTCTTTACCCAATATACCGGTTCTCAGAAAAATATATTGCAATACGTATTGTTTATATAGCGTATTGCGATATACCGGAATACCGGTAACATCGTGCAGTCCTAAGGGCCTAGATTTTCGAAGCTCTCTTAGCGCTAAGACAGTCGTAAGTGCCATACATTAACATTAACTTACGACTCTCTTAGCGCTAAGAGAGCTTCGAAAATGTAGGCCCTAGATGCCAGACAAAACAATGGTTGATAGTATGAGCAAAGTCACTTTCTGACGTCAACGAAGCTTGGGGGCTGGTATTCGTGACGGGTACACTCATAAACCTTTCTTACTGACAAATCGTTATCATTCGACCTCGAGTTCATTTTCACCGAGACAGTATAGTTTATTAGATATATAGATAACTGCCACGTCACCATGGAATATTCGTCGTAAAACATTGCAAACATTATGCATACTTTAACTGGTTGTTTTTAAGTTCCGTAAATCGTTCGAATTGAAGAAATTACATAAATACAACATCTATATTAACAGAATAAAATGATATGTTTTATTGTGTAACTCACTAATACTCCATCTAGACAAGACGGCGGATTGAAATAAGTGAAATCATGATCAGCGCTTAACGCAACCAAGCCAGGGACCCTGAAGACCCGATCCTGCTGGTCGCTTCTCACGACAAGCTTGGATTACTGAAGACCCATTCTAACCTGGATCGTCTCTGGGCTGGAACATATAGCTACCAATAGGTTTCAGACAGTACCTGTACACCAATAATATGACTTTGCTTTATTGCAGTTAAGACAATTGGTGGTTGTTTTTCCTTACTGGTCTGCTTGGCCAAGGTTTAGCAGTTATGCATCGTGGCGTAAGGCAACATTCATTTATTACATGCTAAATGCTGCATTCAGATTGGTCTGCTAACGATATCAAATATACTTTAGACAATGATTACATGTGATCGCACCACAGCTTAAAATCTATTTAGAGGCACTGCAATGTAATTATTATAATCATGTTAATATTTATAATGCACACAAATTAACACCCAACAGTGTTCTAAAAACGCTACATTCCTTAGCCGGTCGTTTGATGCACTCGCGTTTCATTCTGAGCTCCCTGCCTGTTAGGCGTTAGATGATTAATTTGGCAGTCATTTTATCCTACCGGGTACCCATTTACCGCTGGGTGATCCGTGGCAACGTCTCTTGTATAAGGAGACACCACAAGTGTGTCAGTATGGGACAGGACCGACGTGCTGAAATACTAGACACCGACTGGTAGGCAATTTTAACCACTGTCCCTACTACTGACTGAGTAGTTTGGTTTTACGCCGCTTTTAGCAATATTCCAGCAACATCACGGCAGGGGACACCAGAGATGGGCTTCACACATTGTGCCCATGTCCCTAATACAGTTCACCTTGTGCATCTTCGGTTATGTACTGTAATAAATTTCTATTTAAATTCGATAAATACTCTGAATTCAATGCCACCATAGCTTCATAATCAAACACCATTGTGTCGAATTTCAAAGGTTCTATGCTTCGAGTCAACCGAGGTTCGTCACAATCACAAAATGACCGAATATGAAAAAAAACGGGGAACATGCTTTTACTTCGGGACAACCGTAAATTCGACTCATCAAAGTTCGACACAACCGAGTTTGTTAGAATTTCATTCGAAATACACACGCTTGAAATTACTGTCAAATTACAATGCACGCATGAGTAAGACATTCAGGGCCATGATCATGATACGAGATATTCACATCAGCCCGAAGTGAATGGGCCTAAGGTACATGTATTCATACAATATATACATCGGAGGCAAAAAGACGTTAAACTCCCTGCTTGGCGCTTGGCATTAATGGGTACAACAAGGACTGGTCGGCTTGGAGTCAGTATGATGTGTCTGAGTGGGGTATTTATGCTTCACTGCGGCATGGTATCTCAGTGGGCTAGCACTATAAAACCAGCTTAAGTCTGGGCTAGTACAAGCAGCCGCACCTACACATACACACGTCATATGAGCGAAATATTCTCCAGCGCGACGTTAAACCCAATTTCACTTCACCTCACCTCCGATGGGCGGTGGGGTAGCCTTGTGGTTAAAGCGTTCGCTCGTCACGCCGAAGACCCGGGTTCGATTCCCCACATGGGTACAATGTGTGAAGCCCATTTCTGGTGTCCCCCGCCGTGATATTGCTGGAATATTGGTAAAAAGCGGCGTAAAACTAAATTCACTCACTCATAGTCTCCAATCAGTGCTAGATCTTTTAACACGGCAAAATCTTTCAGGCGTAACACTTGATCAATGACTTAAAGCGTCTATTATCACTGACATTATCACATGAGTTATTCGTTACAATGGTTGTATGGGAACCGAGCAATGAGTGAGATTGGTTTTACGCTGGGCTTAGTAATATTCCAGCAACATCGCGGCGGGGAACACCAGAAATGGGCTTCACACATTGTACCCATGTGGGGAATCGAACCGGATAACTCGAAACATAACTCCCCTCAAATTCGACACAACGGTGTCGGACCGTATTTTTAAACAGCGAACCCAAACCAATGACATCATACAAACAGGAACATTCCTCCGATTCCCCGTGGTGCACGGTGTTGAAAAGCAAAGCAAAGTTGGTTTCCCACAAAAGCAAGCACGGAGATGGTTATACAGGGCCTCATCTCATAGTCTGACTAAAACAGTGAGTATGGTTTTACGCGCGTTTAGCAATATTCCCCTAAAAGAACACATATGACTAATCCCTGGAGTTTAAAGTTCTCAGAATATTCGAATCAGCAATCTCACTCAGCGGTTCAGTCGTTACTCTGAATGTGTCGTTTTGCTGGCGATGCCACACTGTCCACTTCCGGTATTTGCGGATTAGATGATGACGTCACTTCCTGTTTATATTTACCAGAGGACAACACAGCGAAAACGATGATAGTGACTGTCGATAGAAAATGGCCACCAGCCGACACCAGGAAGGCAGCCCCACGCATCACAATCACTGTAGAGCTGTAGATACAACTGAACAATGGTTCTCCTAAGACGTTGCTGACGATTGCAAAGACAGATAAGCTCGCCATGAGAGATCCCTGTCGATCTGGAGCCGTCATCTGGGACAACACTGACCGGATTATCCCTCCTACTGAGACCGAAAGACATCCAACGATGGCAACACCGTACATCATCCAATTGGTGTAGGAAAACGCGTGCAGCGCGTTAGACGCCATGGTGACGACACAGCTCCATACAGCGATGAGTGGATCCCTGACACAGCTCTGGAGCAGCCTGGCTAAGGGAATACAGAGCACTTGTTGGAACATTGTGCTTGCCATACTGTAGTATCCTATCATCTCTGGGCTCCAACACAAGGGGTAATTGAGCTGCCACAAATTTCCAATGTCCCCAGTACTGCTACTAAGGGTAGAAATGAAATAAGCTATAATGGCCAACCAGAACAACACCTTCCTTCTCTTTGAACCTTCTGTAAAGTAGGGCGAAAAGACATTTTTTAAACCTGCCAAAAAGTTTCCACAGGAAGCTCCTCTTCGTTTAACATTGTCAGACAAAATACACATAATTGTTACCAAGACAACCACGGTCATCAACGCTGATGCCAAGGACGGGTAAAAGAATCCTGTGTTCTGGATGAAGATGCCGGTCACTGATGAAATGGCTGCTTCGGTAACTGCCATTGTGACATCTACTGCTATCATCCCCAGGGTCCTGACGCCTTTAGCTGGTGTATTGTCCGACACACACGTGTAGCAGGCTAGTTTGAACAGAGACGACCCGCCAGTAATTCCTTCCAATATTTCACCAACATAGTAAAACTTCAGATCCAAGTTCCAATAAATTATTGCCGTAAGAATGGAATTCTTCATGAAGTATCCCACCGTTGGCACCATAAACAGAACCCTTCTACCGACATAATCTGAGAAGGAGCCTAGCATTAGATTGATAACGAGCTCGCATCCCGATTTGGATATCGAGAATTGCATCTGCATGGTGTTCGTAACCTGCTGGGCTTTCTCCTGGAGCTTGAAGCCTTCGGTTGAACTGTTCTGGAAGCAGGTGACGTTGTGTTTCGCCGGTTCTGTACCGTTGGGGTACACGTCGTCTTTGACCCTCATGTACAGGTACTGGGTGACCACTGGCGAGTGGAGTTTTTCAGCAATGGTCCACAGGCAGATCACGATGTTTACAAGCAGGAGTGTCCCGTATCTTGTTTTGGTTGGAACCTTGGGGACAGACTCATTCCTTGGACGTGTATTGACTGCAGGATCCGTGTGTAGGAGGGGCTCTTTCTCCATGACTTTGTTCACGGTATACAGCTCTGTAATGTGTATTTTGATAGGTATGTTGGTTATCTAAGTGTGTCACTTTCAAGGTTACATTCCATCGATGTTATCAAATGTTATGCTCCGTATGCTAGGTATCGCCAGATAATGTAGCTTGTACTGCGTGGATGAGTGAGTGAGTGGGTGAGTGTCATAAACTGTCGCACACAAGACATTTTTTTTTTTTTTCTAAAGAACAAAGCGAATAGTAAACCGCATGGTAGGACATTGGGCTACACCATGTAATAGTATTTTGATTGTATCTTAAAAGTCCTGATATCCCAATTGCGTAGATCGATGCCCATGTTGTTGATCATTGGATTGTCTGGTCCAGACTCGATTATTTACAGACCGCCGACATATAGCTGGAATATTCCTGAGTGCGGCGTACAAGTAAACTCACTCACTCACTCACCAATTGCGCTGCATCCATGATCATGCTGTTGATCACTGGATTGTCTGGTCCAGACTCGATTATGTACAGACTGTCGCCATATAGCTGGAATATTGCTGAGTGCGGCGAACAACTAAACTCACTCACCCACTAACCAATTGCGCTGCATCCATGCTCATGCTGTTGATCACTGGATTGTCTGGTCCAGACTCGATTATGTACAGACTGTCGCCATATAGCTGGAATATTGCTGAGTGCGGCGTACAACTAAACTCACTCACTCACTCACCAATTGCGCTGCATCCATGCTCATGCTGTTGATCACTGGATTGTCTGGTCCAGACTCGATTATGTACAGACCGCCGCCATATAGCTGGAATATTGCTGAGTGCGGCGTACAACTAAACTCACTCACTCACTCACCAATTGCGCTGCATCCATGCTCATGCTGTTGATCACTGGATTGTCTGGTCCAGACTCGATTATGTACAGACTGCCGCCATAAAGCTGGAATATTGCTGAGTGCGGCGTACAACTAAACTCACTCACTCACTCACCAATTGCGCTGCACCAATGCTCATGCTGTTGATCACTGGATTGTCTGGTCCAGACTCGATTATGTACAGACTGCCGCCATAAAGCTGGAATATTGCTGAGTGCGGCGTACAACTAAACTCACTCACTCACCAATTGCGCTGCATCCATGATCATGCTGTTGATCACTGGATTGTCTGGTCCAGACTCGATTATGTACAGACCGCCGCCATATAGCTGGAATATTGCTGAGTGCGGCGTACAACTAAACTCACTCACTCACTCACCAATTGCGCTGCATCCATGCTCATGCTGTTGATCACTGGATTGTCTGATCCAGACTCGATTATGTACAGACCGCCGCCATAAAGCTGGACGATCGCTGAGTGCGGCGTTAAACAACAAACAAAACAAAATCGCATGTCCTCAGCGACTGACCAGATGAATGAAAGATGCTCTCATCGCACTTGTGACAGGTCAGCTTATGTATCTTCATGGGAGTCCAAAGCTTCTCGAAGATCAAGCCAAACGACTTCCATCAGTGGAATCTGGCATTACAGATCCCTGCATTGTCTGTCACTCTTAGTCATGCTTTCCCTTACGTTCTTTCTTCTCGCAAAGCACCCGTGAAGATCCGGGTTAGAATTGATCTTCAGCAACCCATGCTTGTATCCCCCGTGAAGATCCGGGTTAGAATTGATCTTCAGCAACCCATGCTTGTATCCCCCGTGAAGATCCGGGTTAGAATTGATCTTCAGCAACCCATGCTTGTATCCCCCGTGAAGATCCGGGTTAGAATTGATCTTCAGCAACCCATGCTTGTATCCCCCGTGAAGATCCGGGTTAGAATTGATCTTCAGCAACCCATGCTTGTATCCCCCGTGAAGATCCGGTTATAATTGATCTTCAGTAACCCATGCTTGTATCCCCCGTGAAGATCCGGGTTAGAATTGATCTTCAACAACCCATGCTTGTATGCCCCGTGAAGATCCGGGTTAGAATTGATCTTCAGTAACCCATGCTTGTATCCCCCGTGAAGATCCGGGTTAGAATTGATCTTCAGTAACCCATGCTGTTGATCACTGGATTGTCGGGTAGAGACTCGATTATTTATTTACAGGCCGCCGCAATGCAGCTGGATTATTGCTGAGTGCTGTGTAAAACTAAACTCATTCACTCACTCACACTCACTCTCGCAATGTAAATCTGCAACAAACCTGTTACCTTTGTCGACCTGAACTGACGTACAAAAGAAACTACACACTTCGTGCTTTGGGGTCATTTTCAAATACACAGCGTCAATATTTTGAAATGTGTTTTGATTGTCACTTAAAATTGACAAACATTGTACCCATGTTGTCGTGTCACACTAGTTGTGCAGTTTATTTTCTACGTCAGTCTGATTTGACAACGTGGTCATGAAGTAATGCAAATTAGGCGAAAGAGGCATGACTGGCTCTGTGGTGTAAAACGCCCAATTCAACGGACAGAGTTGCGTCTCTTAGCCGAACCAGAATCGTGGTTCGTCGGTTTGAATTCCAAAACTGTTTTCACAAATGCGTTTTTTCATGCGTCACTTTCTCTCCTATTCGGGGCGGTGGGGTAGCCTAGTGGTTAAAGCGTTGGCTCGTCACGCCTAAGGCCCGGGTTCGATTCCCCACATGGGTTCAATGTGTGAAGCCTATTTCTGGTGTTTCCCCCCCGTGATATTGCTGAAATATTGCTAAAGGTGGCGTAAAACTAAACTCACTCACTCACTATTGTTTTGTCAATAAGTGGCCACAACTCTAATGAGATCTCAGCGCCACAACACAACAAAATATGCACTTGCATCCCAGCTACCATGATTTTTTCCCAAATGCAGTATGATCATGCGTGATAATTTCACTATTTAATTGGCTGTACTCCAATGGTTTATCAGGGTGGTGGGGTAGCCTAGTGGTTAAGCGTTCGCTCGTTACGCCGAAGACCCGGGTTCGATTCCACACATGGGTATAATGTGTGAAACCCATTTCTGGTGTCCTAAGCCGTGTTATTGCTGGAATATTGCTAAAAGCGGCGTAAAACTAAATTCAGTCAGTCAGTCCAATGGTTTATCATTACGGTGAACATGAAAGAACATACACCATATGTAGAAGAGTCACTACGACCAAACCCGTGAAGGTACGGGTTAGAATATTGGCCTTCAGTAACCCATGCTTGTCGTAATAGGCAACTAACGGGATCGGGTGGTCAGGCTCGCTGACTTGGTTGATGCAGGTCATCGTATCCCAAATGCGCAGTACGATGCTCATGCTGTTGATCACTGGATTGTCTGGTCCAGACTCGATTATTTACAGACCGCCCCCTTATAGCTGGAATATTGCTAAACGCGGTGTAACACTAAACTTACTCACTCACTATTGTTTTGTCAATATGTGGCCCTACAGTCGCTGGTTCGAGTCTTGTCGTGCAATACCAAAATACCTTATATGATGGTATTTGTTGTTGCCCTGCCTTGCGACGGGCTTCCCAAAACAAAACAAGGACGTTTCGGTTATTTGTAAGTATATTGTGCCAGAGTGGGTGAGTGTTACGCTAGTTATTGTAGAATTCCATCAATATCACGGCGGGGAACACCAGAAATGGGCTCCACACATTGTACCGATGTGGGGAATCGAACTCCGATCTTCGACGTGACGAGTGAAAGCTTTAACCACTTGGCTACCCCATTGCTCCGTTTCTGAGTGGGTATCCCGCATGGTATGACTGCTGGAACCAAGAATCTCGACTTTTTTTAATGTGAAGATGGCAAAGAAAAAAGGAATAAAAGCTTTAAAGAAGCTTTTAAAGATGATATGTTGTTATGTTGTCCTATGTACAAGTGATGCTATGACGCCGTGCTTGGTTGTTGTTTTACGCCGCACTCAGCAATATTCCAGCTATATGGCGAAGGTCTGTAAATAATCGAGTCTGAACCAGACAATCCAGTGATCAACAGCATGAGCATCGAGCTACGCAATTGGGATACGATGACATGTGTCAGCCAATTCAGCGAGCCTTACCACTCGATCCCGTTAGTCGCCTCTGACGTCAAGCATGGGTTACTGAAGATCAATTCAAACCCAAATCTTCACGGGTTGTCTTCAGTGGGATGAGCGAACGCTTTAACCACAGTGATATCCTGCCGCTCATTTTGACATAGAAAAGTGAAAGAACTTCCTGGTTGACACAATCACACTATTGAGTCCATCACAAAAGCTGGCAAAAACAAAATTCCGATATATAAAAGAAACATCTCCAGCAAAGCGTCTGATCTGATTGGCGGAAAAAACAACCTGGGCAGCCAATCAAAGGTGAGCCTTCTAAAGAGGGGATTTTATCGTTGATGTTACACACTAGAGCACTCAAAATGTTTATCAAGTAAATATGTAGAATTCCTTTACTCGGGTTGGTTGCGTGCATGGTTCCTGCTATGCTTGAGATGGTGTTACGATATTTCAACAGTTTGTGTTTTGGTTGTAACGCAAATCGGCGAGGTGGTCGACTTAAGCCATGTGCGACGGAAGACTTGCATTGGTTCTTGGGCCTATGGGGGAGTTTTGATAGCTATCTATGACATGAAAGGAACCAAAAAAGCTCTTGTGACATAATGCCATACAATTAAGGTCATCTACACATGTATAGTTTCTCCATAATCTTACAAGTAAACATGCATTTCTGGATATCCTATTACGCATCCCACTGAATGCCAAGTTAGGCCAATGTGGGTTTTTCGACTTGTGCTATTTGCAATTGTGTACATTTTAGGGATAAAGAATAACAGCCTAAACACAGTTTTTTTCTATTTCCGACAGTAATGTAGTATTGGGGTCGACTGCCGTCTATAATGCTAACAGTCCATATCATCTTTAGGACCCATGAGGGTTAGAATTGCTCTTAGGTAACTCATGCTTGTCGTAAAAAGCGATTGACGGGATCGGGTGGTCAGACTCGCTGACTGGGTTGACACGTGTATGTCATCGTATCCCAATTGCGTAGATCGATGTTCATGCTGTTGATCACT